GAAGTTTCTCAAGAACCATTCGAGCCACAGAATTCGTTTTGGCATCGTTGGATAGAGAATTGAAAAGTCGATCCAGTCGTAACAACGTGAGTGAGCAACTCGACGTTCTAAGTTAGATGGAGGGTTTTTGATGGGCGATGAATTTGAGATTCGACAGTTCTTTAGTACAACTGGCCTAGTGGCTCTAAATTGACAGCTAACGATCTCAACCCCAGTGGTTCATATAGAGCCAAGTGGCCCCTAACACCTGAGCATGCACGCAATCGGGGCTTAACCAGCCAGTTTAACGGCATTAATTTTGTTCCGGCAGGTCCATGAGCTTCCAGCCGACAAGTTGAAGGCGCGCGAAGTGGTTCTCATCGATATTGCCAACGACGCGGTCAACACGGCCGACTACAAAGCCGACGAAGACCCCACCAAGTTCAAGTCGCAAAAGACTGGCCGGGGTCCGTTGCAAGGCCCCGATTGGCGGGAGAAGATCAACCCTGTCATGACCTGCTACAAGCTGGTGACCGTCGAGTTCAAGTGGTTTGGACTGCAGGTGAGTGAAGATTTTTGTTCTTTTGTTTGACGCGGGCAATGCTTAGGTGAACGATCCGGAATTTTCTAGTTATGCCGTCGATGGCGGCGTTCGACCTGAAAAAGCTAGCGAAATGTTAGCAACGACGGCATAATTACAGAGAAATTCCCGATTTTTCAAAATGATCAGTATGACCAACATCAATTCTATTTCAGACTAGGGTAGAAAGTTTTATTCAGAAATGTGAAAGGCGGCTTTTCACAAACTTCCATAGGTAAGTGCGACTGCTGGAACCTTAGGGGACTTTGGGATGATTCTTATTGCATGTTTTAGACAAGTGTTCTGTTGGATGGACCGCTGGCACGGTCTGACGATGGATGACATCCGGCGAATCGAGGAGAAAACAAAAGAAGAGCTGGAAGCCCTGCGAAGAACGGGCGAAGCGCGCGGCATGAGGGCAGAGTCCGATTAAACTATTTTAGCCAAAAGAACTCATTGATAGCTAATTAACTTAACAGTTTTTATTCTACCAAAAAAATAATACTGTGGAAACTCATAGCTTAGACAGAGAGGGAGGGCGTGGTGTTGTTTAATTAACCCTCCTTAAAGTATTCTAAGTATAAGGGGATTTTGTGGGGGGGTATTTTTTAAACGGTCGTTTATTAGCTTTATGTCTGCCCCCTACAAACAGGTTCCGCGTAAAGTAACAGAACACAATGGGTTAAATGCATTTTTACTGATAAGAATTTTTATTCAACATTGGGAAATTAGAGTTTATTTATAAGTTACCAAAGTATGACTTTTGTAGGACACGAGCGTCAGCCTGAAAATTGTTGCGGACGGAGAAAAATAATGAAACGTTTGCTCCTTATTGCCATGCCCAGATGCTTTTCTATTGTTTGATTTTTATATTTTACGCAATAAACTTGTTTTTATTTTGCATTGTTTTATTCTTACTTCAGTGGTTTTCATTATTTTTCCTCGTGTGCAGCGCACAATTTCCAGATTGGCTTCTATTCTATTCTAGGTCGGCAACTATCTTGTGAAATTTTCAAGTATTTAGAAATAATGACGTACTTTAATTAGCAGGATATCTAAGCTCATGTGAAGAAGAAGAATGAAGCTCATGGGTTTTAGGCCGTCGTTCGGTAGAATTTCTTGTTGACGTTTCGCAAGCACGAGTGGCTTGCATCTTCAGAAGTGGTTTGCTTGAACGCTTACACTGT